GTTAACAAGCTTTTTCTATTTTTAGCTCCTGTGACCTAGTTTTTGACCGGAGATAACCCATTTTCAAACATGACCTAGAAATCATCAAAACAACCTTCCTGACAAGTTTCCAGAATATTTGGATGAAAACTGCAGCCCCTAGAGTGTTAACAAACTTTTTCTATTTTTTTCTCCTGTTACCTAGTTTTTGATCGGACATGACCCATCTTCAAACTTGACTTAGATATCATCAAAACAACCTTCTTGACAAATTTCCAGAATATTTAGATGAAAACTGCAGCCACTAGAGTGTTAACAAGCTTTTTTTATTTTTAGCTCCTGTGACCTAGTTTTTGACCTGAGATGACCCATCTTCGAACTTGATCTAGAAATCATCAAAACAACCTTCCTGACAAATTTCCAGAATGTTTAGATGAAAACTGCAACCATTAGAGGGTTAACAAGCTTTTTCTATTTTTAGCTCCTGTGACCTAGTTTTTGACCGGACATGACCCATCTTCGAACTAATAGAAATCATCAAAACAACTTTCCTGACAAATTTCCAGAATATTTGGATGAAAACTGCAGCCACTAGAACAAGCTTTTTCTATTTTTAGCTCCTGTGACCTAGTTTTTGACCCGAGATGACCCATCTTTGAACTTGACCTAGAAATCATCAAAACAACCTTCCTGACAAATTTCCAGAATATTTAGATGAAAACTTGGGCCATTAGAGTGTTAACAAGATTTTTCTATTTTTAGCTCCTGTGACCTAACTTTTGACCGGAGATGACCCATCTTCGACCTTGCCCTAGAAATCGTCAACACAACCTTCCTGACAAATTTCCAGAATATTTGGATGAAAACTGCAGCCTCTAGAGTGTTAACAAACTTTTTCTATTTTTAGCTCCTGTGACCTAGTTTTTGACCGGAGATGACCCATCTTCAAACATGACCTAGATATCATCAAAACAACCTTCCTGACAAATTTCCAGAATATTTGGATAAAAACTGCAGCCACTAGAGTGTTAACAAGCTTTTTCTATTTTTAGCTCCTGTGACCTAGTTTTTGACCGGACATGACGCATCTTCAAACTTGACTTAGATATCATCAAAACAGCCTTCTTGACAAATTTCCAGAATATTTGGATGAAAACTGCAGCCTCTAGAGTGTTAACAAGCTTTTTCTATTTTTAGCTCCTGTGACTTAGTTTTTGACCTGAGATGACCCAACTTCAAACTTGATCTAGAAATCATCAAATCAACCTTCCTGACAAATTTCCAGAATGTTTAGATGAAAACTGCAACCATTAGAGTGTTAAAAAGCTTTTTCTATTTTAGCTCCTGTGACCTAGTTTTTGACCGGGTATGACCCATCTTCGAACTAATAGAAATCATCAAAACAACTTTCCTGACAAATTTCCAGAATATTTGGATGAAAACTGCAGCCACTAGAGTGTAAACAAGCCTTTTCTATTTTTAGCTCCTGTTACCCAGTTTTTGACCGGGTATGACCCATCTTCGACCTTGACCTATAAATCATCAAAACAACCTTCCTGACAAATTTCCAGAATATTTGGATGAAAACTGCAGCCACTAGTGTGTAAACAAGCTTTTTCTATTTTTAGCTCCTGTGACCTAGTTTTTGACCGGAGATGACCAATCTTTGAACTTGACCTAGAAATCATCAAAACAACCTTCCTGACAATTTCCAGAATATTTAGATGAAAACTGCGGCCATTAGAGTGTTAACAAGATTTTTCTATTTTTAGCTCCTGTGACCTAACTTTTGACCGGAGATGACCCATCTTCGACCTTGCCCTAGAAATCGTCAACACAACCTTCCTGACAAATTTCCAGAATATTTGGATGAAAACTGCAGCCTCTAGAGTGTTAACAAACTTTTTCTATTTTTAGCTCCTGTGACCTAGTTTTTGACCGGAGATGACCCATCTTCAAACATGACCTAGATATCATCAAAACAACCTTCCTGACAAATTTCCAGAATATTTGGATAAAAACTGCAGCCACTAGAGTGTTAACAAGCTTTTTCTATTTTTAGCTCCTGTGACCTAGTTTTTGACCGGACATGACGCATCTTCAAACTTGACTTAGATATCATCAAAACAGCCTTCTTGACAAATTTCCAGAATATTTGGATGAAAACTGCAGCCTCTAGAGTGTTAACAAGCTTTTTCTATTTTTAGCTCCTGTGACTTAGTTTTTGACCTGAGATGACCCAACTTCAAACTTGATCTAGAAATCATCAAATCAACCTTCCTGACAAATTTCCAGAATGTTTAGATGAAAACTGCAACCATTAGAGTGTTAAAAAGCTTTTTCTATTTTTAGCTCCTGTGACCTAGTTTTTGACCGGGTATGACCCATCTTCGAACTAATAGAAATCATCAAAACAACTTTCCTGACAAATTTCCAGAATATTTGGATGAAAACTGCAGCCACTAGAGTGTAAACAAGCCTTTTCTATTTTTAGTTCCTGTGACCCAGTTTTTGACCGGGTATGACCCATCTTCGACCTTGACCTATAAATCATCAAAACAACCTTCCTGACAAATTTCCAGAATATTTGGATGAAAACTGCAGCCACTAGTGTGTAAACAAGCTTTTTCTATTTTTAGCTCCTGTGACCTAGTTTTTGACCGGAGATGACCAATCTTCGAACTTGACCTAGATATCATCATAACAACCTTCCTGACAAATTTCCAGAATATTTGGATGGAAACTGCAGCCACTAGAGTGTTAACAAGCTTTTTCTATTTTTAGCTCCTGTGACCTAGTTTTTGACCGGAGATGACCCATCTTCGAACTTGACCTAGATATCATCAAAACAACCTTCCTGACAAATTTCCAGAATATTTGAATAAAAACTGCGGCCACTAGAGTGTTAACAAGCTTTTTCTATTTTTAGCTCCTGTGACCTAGTTTTTGACCGGAGATGACCCATCTTCAGACTTGACCTAGATATCATCAAAACAACCTTCCTGACAAATTTCCAAAATATTTGGATGAAAACTGCAGCCTCTAGAGTGTTAACAATCTTTTTCTATTTTTAGCTCCTGTGACCTAGTTTTTGACCGGAGATGACCCATCTTCGAACTTGACCTAGAAATCATCAAAACAACCTTCCTGACAAATTTCCAGAATATTTGGTTCTTTATGCAGCCACTAGAGTGTTAACAAGCTTTTTCTATTTTTAGCTCCTGTGACCTAGTTTTTGACCCGAGATAACCCATCTTCGAACCCGATCTGCATTTCATTGAGACAAAGTTTGATGATGATATAATCAAAACTGTGACTGCTAGACTGTTAACAACCCAATTGTTGACGACGCACGACGACGGACGCTGGACATAGCCCCATAACTATACCTCACCTTTACCACTTCGTGGTCAGGTGAGCTAAAAAAATCAGTGAAACATATGAAGAATAAAACTTACATGTTTGGATGCATTTATATTTGAAAACACCTCGTTCAGACTTATTTGTTTCCCAATTAAATGTCAGTACCAACAGTCAGAACAAATATTGTTTTAGGTAAATTGTGCAATCTCTAAACTACTTTGATATAATGATATAGTTGATGCTCCAACTAAATTTTATCAAGAGCATCATTCAGGCATCATTTCGCGAGGATGAGGTGAAACTGGGGCTTGAAATTAGAGACTGGTTTTAATATGAAAATACGATTCGTCCAAGACAGTTTTCATGTTTGGATGAGCACAATAGCTATTCCAAGAGTTATTCATGGTTTAGCTGAGTTAAAATCATAAACTTTAAATTAACCTGACGTCACAAATGATTTAGATGAGCATATGATTTACATATAATTAACTTTATTTATGAAATAGTACGTTAATTTTTAACAAATTGATCTCAAATATTCCCGAATCTAGTTTCATCATTTTGTTGCGAGTGTCCATTTTTAGGTAGATCTAGGTGGGCATTTCTTTATACCTAAAATTATATTCATAATGCAATTTCCTGTCACGGCCCACTTGCTTTCAAATGTGCATACTATAGGCAACTTCCGCATGCAACTCAGAATTTGAAATATGCATTTATTTTTCTACATTCTCTTTCCAGAACCTCTGTGGTTGAATGGTTGAGTCGCTTGATCCTGTTTTGAATTGTATTTAATATTACATTATCTATTTTAATAGCACTTGTTAGTGAAACAAGCTCTTTTATTTATATCAATCAATTGTGGACCCGTTTTCCAGACCTGGTGTCATATGACGAAGCCTGTTACATTTAGTTAGGGTTCTAACTTTAATTATGTCAAATTCTCTTTTCCCTTCGGTACGTGTACGTCGTTGAGAAGCCACAGGGCATCGGCAGAAGATTTGGAGACTGGGGACGGCGAAATAGATCGAAACTTGTACTGCGGACCAGCTGTCGATGTCCTGACTAAAGTTGAGGGGAATGGCCCTACAAAGTAGCCTTCAGGTCGACGAGGATGGTGTGCTAAGGTGCGTGAGCCTTTAGCACGGTTAAACGGCTTGAACGGCAAGCCTTTTGCTGGCACCAACAGCCCTTTTCAGGGCTACCCTTTCATATTGTCTCAGGTTACTGTACATTTAGGTTCTCATTGACCGCCGTACAGTGACCTACTTTTGGCTCAAAATTCATATCTTTGGCTAATACTCCGTGGAAATTGCATGGAGGTAAATTATCACCACTTTGTGCTTCAAAATTAACTCTTTAAGAGCATGACTGGTGACATGTCCGGGGTCCGTACTCGACAGCGAAAGCTGCATTTTGTGCCCTTACGGGCGGATGGACCCTCATTAAGCATAAACTATATACATACATAATTCTGTCAATCAAGGCAACTGGTCATTCTGAGGATTTATTACCGCTAATGAACAGACTGAATAAACCGAAGTACAGTTCCAAAATGGAAGCTGGGTACCACATGAGAAATTCATTAGGCAAACTTAAAAGTTATCAAAAGGATAGCATAAGCAAATGTTGGTCATTATAAATGAATAACCAATACAGATCTTTCAACTCTCATTTATTCTAGCTTTCGTTTTAAATTGAAGAAAAGTAAAACAGTTTTTAAGATGAACTTACAAACACAATTATTGTTTGATTCAAACAGTCATTAGTCATTGTCCATTTCTTTTTCACTCTTTTTCTAAAAATTAAAATACATAAAATCGGGGAACTATTTTTTTTTCTTATATTTCAACTATTTACATATAAACTGACAGAAGACATCAAGTTTGTACTTTCTTTTTCTTTTCTTAAAAAAACCAAGACAATATTATCTATGACTAAAATAAATCTTTTTCAATCAAATACAACAATTAAAATGGAACTTTGGTTAACATCGTTTAGTAAATACAAATCCAATTGAAATGCTAACATAAAAACTACAAATATAAAAATGTACAAAAAGTAAGAACACAAAATGACAGCACATTATTAAGACAATAGGTACACATTAATTATTATAAATCATTTAATGGTGAAAAAAGTATTAGTTTATTTACAAAGTCACAACCTTTTGAATGAGATATGTAGACCTCAAGTTTGGAAGTCATATATAATTATTTTTTTGGCATCTGTTATCCAAGAATCATCTCTTGTCCCTCTTTCTTCTTTCACAGCCTGGCATAATGTAAAGTGCATTCACTGCACTTCGTGTTGTAAGGTTCTGACCATGTTACAATCATTAATGTTGCAGAACAACCTTAAGCCATGCCAAGGTAGAGAAAGTTGGGACAAGATATGGGTATTAATACTGACAGAATATTTAGTCTGGTAAAATATTCACATCAAATACTCAAATATATTAAAAGAAAATACGATTATACACTATTTACTTTAACTTTGATGTTACATTTTAAAAGAGTAGATTCTACACTGGTTATTTTTTTCTGCAAATTTTCTATTTCATTTAGATAGATGTGTAACATGTATGTTTGTATTTGTAATAGCCTTGGACAAGACACATTATAGCTAAGATTGGAATAATATGTGTCTAATTGCTTACATGTCAAATCTAGCTCCACCAGTTGACATAAATTATATGTCCCTAAAGTGAGATGATGTAAAGTATGTATGTGTGCACAGTGTACCAGACTGGATATTCTATTAAGGTCACTTTGGTTTTCTAGTCTACAAGTTGTACAAAATATAGATTCTAAGTGCTGGTTGCATATACAACCTTGTTAAAATAAAATCTTGATGAAAGAAATAACAAGTCATTTTAACTTGAAAAACAACCCAAAAGTGAGAGAGAACTGTGATTGTAATTACAACATCAAGTGTAGGAGAGAGATCAGTAAATATATTAAATATAACAAGATACTGTCAAAAATAATTATTTCAAATAGAAATACAACCTTAAAGTAAGAAAAATATCAGTAATTGTAATGTAAATCATTATAATAGGAAATATTAGCAAATTTACTAGAAATACAACCTTACAGTCAGAAAAATATGAAATTCATTAGAATGGAAAATATCAGTAATTTAACTAGATATTCAACCTTACAGTGAGAAAAAATTATAAGTAATTGTAATGAAAATCATTAGTCATTTAGCTAGAAATAGAACGATAACTTACTAATTGTTGTGAAATGTATTCAGATGCTAAAGAAAAGTGATTTGATTTGAAATACACTGTCAAGGTGGGAAAATCAGTGAGTATTAAGTAAAATAATGCCTAAAAGTGTGAAATACCAGTGGTTAAACATTTAATACAGTGGTTAATAATTAGGGAAATCAGAAATGATTACAGTCTATCAATACAAGTGATCAACATCCTATACATCATTATGTTAGGGAAGTCAAACATATCCCAAAAGAAAATACAGCACCAAACTAATTTTTTTATGGATGTATATTACATATATTACAATGATTTCAGGTCTATCAAAATAATAATACATGTACATATAACTTCACCTTCATATATTAAGGATATTTCTATGAAAATTTATTAATAATGTTGCTGATAAAGAAGTTTTGGTCCAAAATAGCTTACATTAACATTTTTTTTTTTTAAATGTTTGTTAAAACTTTGTGGTGAATGAAGAATCACTTGATCAGGATATTTATTCTCTCAAGCATCAAATACATGTTGTTAAAACGGCTAATTCACTATTAAGGCATATTTACTATTAAGACCACTTTCAATCAGTGCCATCAGTGGTCTTAATAGAGAGAATTCACCATATAATCAATAAAATAGAAACTGATTGCTTATTAGTCAAAATAGAATTTTACCTAATTTTCAATTTAGTTCTTATATACATGTATATATTTTCTTAACCTTTCTTTACAAAAAATTGCACCATTTTATAATAGCTTGACAAATTTTCACTACCAGAAATTTCGTTGAAACAATTATTTTAAGTACTTTAAACTATGTAACACAACATTACATCTGAGCATGATACTAATAGTATGGCATGATGACAATGAAAAATAAAGATGAAAAGTATTATGCAAAAAGACTTAACAAATTCTAAGCTTTTCATTTATTGGGATGACAAAATAGTATATATGCTTTGTTACTTATATATTACTTATATACAATTAGAACAATGATTGGGTAATTACAAGTATCTTTTTCAGCATTGGGAAGCTCCTCAAAAAGGCCTTTAAAATCAATGTATTATCATTATTTTCTTTTTTATCATTTCAAGTTTACTTCTAAATGAAATTTCCTAAACATGGAAATACAATGTACATGAAACCTATGACTTCAGGATTGGTAATGAGTTTAGAAAAACCAAAAATACTTTCAATTATAAATATTTCTTGTATGACATGACAGGCATCTTTTCATTAGTTAGTTTAGTTACTTATGAAGTTATTAAATACAACACATTATCCTACATACAGTAGAGGCTGTTCTGAAGTACTTTAAGCTTAAAAAACATTAGTGGATAATATAAAAATATATTTCAAAATAAACCATTAGATTATTTTATGTTCTTATGCTCTTGTTTTCAATTCAATAATTATGCCAACATAGCATCATTCTCCATTTTACCATATCTTTTACTTTGATTACTTGTTCAACATATCATAAAAACATAAAAAAGGTAACAGATAAAAACTTAAAAAATGCAGCCTCAACTCTAAATATTTCTACTTCCTATCTATCTAGAATAAAATTTCAAAGACTTTAACAAAGTGTAAAATATAACATCTTAAATAGCTTGAAGATTTCATAAAAAGAAAATGGAAAACAACCTTGGATGTTTTCACAACCATATTCTATTCGATGGAATGAAAAAGAAGTAATTTTTAAATGCAAGAGATACCAAATTTAATTAAAAGATCTCAGTAAAACAATATCTTAACAATCCATACCTTAATATGCTCTACAATGATTATTATAAATTATGATAAATTTAGATGGAGGTATTTTCTTCTGTTGTTTTTTTGTTCAGTAACTGATATTTTTAAAGGCAATAATGTCTAGTGAATATGTTTTACGAATTTTACTGAACTGTATAAAATTCAAAATTATGTTGTCTCTCATTTTCATATTTCTTTCTATTTCTTATCCTTCAGTCTTTGTAAGTATAAGTAAGTAAAACAAGTACATTAAGGTATGGTTTGAGATATTTAGTCTGACACAATTCTGTACCCCACATATCACAACCATAGACAATACAATAAAGACAAATTATGACATTATGTTTGATATTCAACAATAAATGATTGACTGAGGAAATTTATGTACATTTCTATCAATGGAATATGACATAAAAATACACAAAAACATGATATAAAATATTTACAGAATTAAAACTGTACAATGAAATCATATATTTCAATGCAGTTAGCACATAATTAATACTGGCCACTTACCTATGGCACATCAAACAGTATCCTTACTAAATTAATCGTCTTTATAAAACAAAATTTATTCACTTTTAAAATATACATTGAAACTCATTTCCTGTCATACAGAATAAAGTAATCGTAACAAATTTAAATAATAAAAACAAAGAAATAAAACAATGAAAATGCAAAGTCAGGTATATTATTCGATGTTGGTCCCAAATTTGGCTGATTTAGAACAAGGGTCTGTATCAACATCCTCCTCTCGTCCTGTTGATATATCAGGTAAACTCCCTAACAACGGGTGGGTCGATGAGTCCAAATTTTCATTATTACACAAGTGGGCAGGGTATTTTAGATTTGGAACACTTTTTGTTTTACCATTGTTTTTACACTCATTGTTGGAGTCAATTATCTCCTCAGAAGTACAAATTGGCTCACCTACAACATGAATACCATTTTTGTCTTTTGTATTCTGATACATAGAAAGTAACTCATTCAGTTTGTTTCTATCTTTTTCTGTATGACAACTGTTATTACTAGTTGAAAGAGTTTTCTTCTCTCCTTCCTGTAATACTGCATAGTTTATTTTTCCTTCTTCATTGTCAGAGTGAAACTCTGAGTTAAGTTTCAGGTTTGAATCTGTTGACAGAAATGACAGCCGATCTTTACTGACAGCATCTTGGTGGTTGTCTTTATGACAGTCATCCTCCGAGTTGTCTGACCCTGATGAGTAACGCCGTTTCTCATTTGACACCTGTAAGTTGTGCTGACAATATTCAGTAACGTATTCACTATCAATAACGGAAGCATCCATGACAGACAAATCTCCAACGACCCCGCCCTCATAATGCGTTGGCATAGCAGAGTAAACATTCTGACCATTTGGAAGAAGCTTATCACTCTGGTTGCTATAGCGATTAACTCCAGTACCAGTTGTGTTACCACTGCTGACATCAGATTTGAGAAAACTGTCAAAACTTCTACGATCTGAAAATTATAAAAACAAGAACCGGTTGAACCGGGTGATGCTCCCCGAGAAGGTTCTGGACACAGGAAAGTATAAAAAAAGTGAACAAAGGGCAAAAACTCCAAAATTAGGCAAAGCAGAGTTATGGTTTTTTTTGCACTGCACTTCTATTCAATGAGATCTATCTATCTATAAAGTTTCCTGATGATATCAGAGTTATGTCCCGGGTAAAAGTCAAAGTGTAAAAATGAACAAAGAGCAATAACTCCAAAAATTAGACCAGGCTTTGTTAAGGTTCTAAAGCATTGCAATTCTATCCAATTATATCTAGCTACCTACAAAGTTTCATGTTGATATCTCTAATAGTTTTAAAGTATTGTCCAGGACAAAAGTCAAAAAGTAAAAATAAACAAAGGGCAATTACTTCAAAATAAGGCAAGGCAGAGTAATGATTCTTAAGCACTGCACTTCCACCCAATGAGACCTATCTATCTACAAAGTTTCATGTTGATATCTCATATAATTTTAGAGTAATGTCCCAGACAAAGTTCAAAGTGTCAAAATGAACAAAGGGCAATAACTCCAAAAGTAGGCAAGGCAGAGTTACGGTTCTTGTGCACTGCACACCTACTCAATGAGATCTATCTACCTACAAAGTTTCATGTTGATACCTCTTATACTTTTAGAGTTATGTCCCGGACAAAGTTCAAAGTGTAAAATAAACAAAGGGGGATAATTCAAAAATAAGGCAAGGCAGAGTTACGGTTCTTGTGCACTGCACACTTACTCAATGAGATTTATCTACCTACAAAGTTTCATGTTGATACCTCTTATACTTTTAGAGTTATGTCCCGGACAAATTTCAAAGTGTAAAATAAACAAAGAGGGATAATTCAAAAATTAGGCAAGGCAGAGTTACGGTTTTTGTGCACTGCACACCTACTCAATGAGATCTATCTACCTACAAAGTTTCATGTTGATACCTCTTATACTTTTAGAGTTAAATCCCGGACAGAGTTCAAAGTGTAAAATAAACAAAGGGGGATAATTCAAAAATAAGACAAGGCAGAGATACGGTTCTTGTGCACTGCACACCTACTCAATGAGATCTATCTACCTACAAAGTTTCATGTTGATACCTCTTATTCTTTTAGAGTTATATCCCGGACAAGAAAAGGGGACAGACGGACGGAAAGACGGACGGACGGACAAGGCGGCGCCTATATGCTCGCCCGAAATTTTTTCGGGGAGCATAAAAATGTTATCATAAAAGCAACATGATCTTGGACTTGTGTGTGTTCTGCTGAAACTGATGATACTGCTAGGGTAGAACAGCAAGAAAAGTGGGTACCCCCACAGTGCTTCAGCAATCCCCCCACCAATTGTGCTTCAGCAGAGCAAAATTTATATGATCCCAATAAAATTGCGAGTCCAAAATGGGGTGTACAGGTTTTTATTCTTATCATGGTGAGAAAAGGTCTCTATTTTAATAATAAGCAGGATAAAGACTGTATGAGGAAAATAAAGGTATAAATTAGTCATTTTAGTTTTCAACCAAAAGATACTTACTTTTAGTATTAGTGCCAGAAGTTGAGGTGGATCTCTTCCTCTTTCTACCGCTCCAGAAACGAAGGAAGTACTGTCAAATAAAGTAAATATATGTTTGTTATAAGTATCATATATTTTAAATGTGAAAAAAATATTTCAAATTCATAGAGTGACAAATTTAAAGACACAATACATGTACAATCTTACAGGAAACTTAAAGGTATATTTAACACTTTTTTTCAACAAAACCCTTTCAAAGCTAATTACCTTATGCTATTTATAAAGCAAATATGTAAATTATATGCTATTAACTTACATTTTGAGGTCCCGAGGAAGATGAAGGTGGTGATGATAAATGCCCGTTGTATCCACCAATGTTAACACGACAGCAAATAGGTAACCACTTGGCTTTGTATATTGCTCTGCGCCATTCTTTCTTCACCTTTAAATTATATACAAGTAAATCAATTGAGATATGTATCATATTTTGTATACAGTCATCTGACATAGAAAGAACAAACATACTATTCATTATTATTATATAACAATTTACTGTTGATTTGTAAACTTAAGAATCTTGGTATTACCGAATCTCTTAACCCTTACCCTGTTTGCCACAATTGAATCTACAACTCATGCAACCAGATGTGCTGTCTGATCTTGGTCTGCACTGTTTGCTATACAGTCTGTAAATTTTCCATAAAAATGATGAACAGTTTTGTTCATATTGAAAGATGGACATGTCCATTTTTGATATTCAGAGTGGTTAAAATGTTAAAAACTTGACATGTTCATTCAACAAATTAAGCATTAAGCAAACAGAACCCACCTTTCTATCCATGAAACAATGGAATATGAAGATAAAGAGTCCCTGTAGACTGTTGAGAATGGTGAAGATGTAGGCAATAGCTACCATGTCCTCATCCAAATACAGGAAACCAAATGTCCATGTTAGACCTAGTAACACCACCAACACTGCACTACCCTTCAACCATGTCCTGTATAAACCAACAGTAAAATATTCATTATTAAATCATCAAAATATTCATTATTTAATCGTTAGGTTCAAATGGTGGTAAAAAAGCCTGTCAGGAGCTAAAACCTACATAGACAAACCAAATAATTTAATGTAAAAGAACAATGATTTATCAACTGGAAGCTAAAGAGTGCACTTTGTTTAATCAAATAATTGACACATACCAGTAGTTGTTATCAAGTACAAAGATGTGCTACAATATTAGAAATATCACAATATTTCATTTTTAAGTAAACATATTTTGTACTTTTTATCATGTATACGTTTTTAAAATCTTATATTATCCATTTCTGTTAATTGACTTTTAACATGTGTAAGACACAAAACAAACATCTTCTGTTAGATAAGAAATACATCAAAGGAATATTTTAGTTTTGGAAGCTATTATTGATCAGATTCAAAATATTTTACGAATTCTTAAACAAGAGGGCCATGATGGCCCTAGATCGCTCACCTGACTTATCAAACTCATCCAAACAATTACCTAGACAAGCATTCTGACCAAGTCTCATGACAGGTGAGTAAAAAATGTGACCACTACAGTGTTAACAAGGATTATCCATATTTGAGCAGTGCGACCTAGTTTTTTACCCAGGTGACATATATTCAAACTTGACCTAGAAATCATCAAAACAAACTTTCAGACCAATTTCCAGGATACTTGGATCAAAACAGTAGCAACTAGAGTGTAAACAAGATTTTTCTATTTTTAGCTCCGGTGACCTAGTTTCACATGCGATTTCGAACTCATCCAAGCAATTACCTAGACAAGCATCCTGACCAAGTTTGATGATAATTGAGTCGAAAATGTGAACACTAGAATGTTAACACGGTTTTTCCATATTTGGGCGGTGTGACCTAGTTTTTCATCCAAGATGACCCATGTTCGAACTTGACTTAGAAATCATCAAAACAAACTTTCAGACCAATTAACAGAATATTTGGATCACAACAGTAGCCACTAGTGTTAACAAGATTTTTCTATTTTTAGCTCCTGTGACCTGGTTTTTCATCCGAGATGACCCATGTTCGATTTATTCCCAGCAATGACCTAGACAAGTTTCCTGACCAAGTTTGATGACAATTGAGTCAAAATTGTGACCACTAGAGTGTTAACAAGGTTTTTCTATTCTTAGCTCCTGTGACCTAGTTTTTCATCCGAGATAACCCATGTTCGAACTCATCCGAGCTATCACCTAGACAAGCAACTTGATCAAGTTTGATGATGATTGATGCAAAAATGTGACCGCTAGAGTGTTAACAAGGTTTTTCTATTTTAAGCTCTGGTGACCTACTTTTCATCCGAGATGACCCATGTTCGAACTCATCCGAGCTATCACCTAGACAAACATCCTGACCAAGTTTGATGATGATTAAGGCAAAATTGTGACCTCTAGAGTGTTAACATGGTTTTTCTATTTTTAGCTCCGGTGACCTAGTTTTTCATCCGAGATGACCGATGTTCGAACTCATTCGAGCTATCACCTAGACAAGCATCTTGACCAAGTTTGATGATGATTAAGGCAAAAATGTGACCGCTAGAGTGTTAACAAGGTTTTTCTATTTTTAGCTCCGTGACCTACTTTTTCATCCGAGATGACCCATGTCCAAACTTATTCGAGCTATCAACTTGATAAGCATCCTTACCAAGTTTGATGATGATTGATGCAAAAATGTGACCGCTAGAGTGTTAACAAGGTTTTTCTATTTTTAGCTCTGGTGACCTACTTTTTCATTCGGGATGACCCATGTTCGAACTCATTCGAGCTATCACCTAGACAAGCATCTTGACCAAGTTTGATGATGATTGATGCAAAAATGTGACCGCTAGAGTGTTAACAACCCTTAGGAAAAGGAAAGGCATTTAACTTGCAGTTATTTAGCATTGTTTTTCTGACCAGTTTTAACCATTTATTAAGCAGTTTTCCTTGACAAATGTGATTATGTAGAAAGCATTTAAAATGCAGTTAAAATGCATTTAAAATGCAGTTATTTAGCATTGAAAAAGCATTGAAATCAGCCGAAATATGTAAATGAGATGACATCATAAAACTGCCTCCAAATATGGAGATAGCATTTCCAACCATTTATATGACCTCATAAATAACTGCCAAAAAATTGTGTTTGCATTTTCAACCATTTATATGACATCATTAAAAAACTTTCAAAAAACTACTGAAGCCTTTATATGACCTCATAAATAACTGCAAAAAAACTTTCAAAAAACTGTTGCATTTATTTGAGCTAATATAATACTGTTAACAACTGTTCACATCTGAAAATAATTGTACATGTACATGGAATTTCTATTACATTAACACATATGTATGTACATAGATTTCTTACAAATCACCAAATCCCCTAACTTTTCATGAACTCAAAAGCATTGCCCTTTTAGTTTCATTAGGCAACCAGTTTGATTACTGTGTGGACTTAAAGTTTTGGACACTTTTTAATGTATTTAACATTAGAAATTGCTAAGACGAACAACAGACATATTGAACTGTCAAAAATCTCACAATAAGCCTCTGGATCTTTTGAACTTTGAGATTAAAGGCCATATATGCGTTTGTAATGAGCAAAAATGTTAAGTACAAAAATCTTATCCAATGACATTGTTATGAACAAAACGAAAAAGAAATCATAGTATTTCTTCTTCTAAAATGGTCAAAATGTTGAAAAACACCACATAATTCTTGTAACGCCTACAAGACGTTACACCAAATAGTGCTTACATTTTAAAGCATTAAAAGATTGGATAACACCCTTGCAGAATTACTGGTAATTTACCAGGATTTTACTAGGATTTTAGTGGGAAATCCCAGGAATATTTACAGGGATAATTCCTAGGAAATGCAAGGAAATCTGAGGAATTTCCAGTTACTGGCTGGCGGTAATTGGAACGACTGAAAACTACTGGTAATAACTAGAAAAAAAATTTGAAACCAGGAATGCCTTAGATCGACTTGTACTGGAAAATCCTAATTACTGAGAATGACCTGCCCACGGTATTTGGAACATTTTTCTAGTCAATCCCAGGCATTTCAAGGCATTTCAAAGACCTATGATAATACCAGTAACTCCTGGTATTTTTACAATCTTAGGAATGACTGAGAATGACCTGCCCACGGTATTTGGAACATTTTTTCTAGTAATTCCTTGGCATTTCAAAGAACTTGGATATCCCAGACGTTCCTCAGGACCTGGTATTTCCATGATCTAAGGAATGGCTGGAATAGCCTAGGATTGCATTGTACTGAAATTTCTAGCAACTGGGTATGACTGGACCACAGCTGAATTACTGTTACTAGGGCCCCAAAAGGATCATTACGATTAAAATCAAATAATCAGTTTTGTAGAAGATATCATTACAAGAAATTGCTGACAATACAAGATGCCATTGGACACAGGGCAATCACATTACTTCACATAAGCACATTGTACTGATGTGAACTAAAATGTGCACTTTTAAATCCAGTTAAATGACAAGCAGTTCAACATCAGTCATAAGCAAACTATTAAATTTAATAAAAAGCATGATTGCATATGAAACAAAGTATTTTCCTTACAGTTTAATTGTTTTTGTATTGTTAAGACACACTTCTTTAGATATATATCATTGTAGTTACTGGAATGCAATGAGCTTTGGCAATAACACTTGACTTAAGATTCCTTTTTTTAAAACAGTGTAACATGTGACACCTCTTTGAATTTAGCACTAAAAGTTAAAACATTATAATACTTGACTAGGTCACTCCTAGATTTTAATTTGCTTTCATCATTTTCTTAACTGATTGAATGAGGGACATCACTTAAACAGTCTAAGAAACGTCACTTAAACAGTACAAAACATGACGAAAGAAACCTCCAGTATTACATGCAACTCCTACATTTTCTATTGCTGTCTTCTGAAATGAGTAAATCCTTGCTGTAAGATCCAATTTTTGCCGGTTTAATAATTTTCTTGTCATCAAATCTTTCATACTGAAAATCGCAGTAATCCACTGAATTGATGATCTCTGGTAATCAAATGAAATGTTGATCTTTGGTAATCCAACGACTTCTTTGCATTTTCACAGATATATATATACAACAGATAGGAAGCTCTAAAAATAGATAATAGTCAGATTTAGACCCACAATCCTTTGCAGGCTTTGGTGATAATTGGGTTTTCTCGATAGTCTCCAATTTTCGCACTCTCGTTAAACTTGGACGATATCCATGAATTATTGTTTACATACCCCGACATAGATTTTCATCAGAGAAATATTTGTATAGAAAGTGTGTATAGTACCTTTTACAATAAATAACTATTGCTTTCTATTTAAGCAAAAAAATGTTTCATCTTCCTCCGGGAATCCAATATGATGGTGTTTTGGCTATTTTTACCCAGGATGCATCAAATCTCTGAAAATCCCGCAACATATGATAACTTATAAGAACACAATTCTGCCAATACTGAATTTAACAGTGTGACATCACAGTTTCTTCTCCATGTTTATTTAGCTCCATGGCATTTTGTACAACTTGCCCTCTTTCAATTACCTGAAGAATTTATGACAGTTTCTTTATCAAACGTTTTTGACCCGTTTTATAGATTTAAGTTCTCACTCTCCTCAGCTTTGAACATCATCCACAAATTAGTTGAACTCCTCCCTTTGTGGCCTTGTGGTACCAATTCTTATCTGAAATCAAACAAATACATTTCTCTACATATGGAAATATACCAAGATATTTGAAAACGAAATAAATACAAATCACTTGGCAGGACGTGAAGTGGATGCACACTTGGTTCAAGCAAGTAAAATCATTGCAAACTTGACAAAATGGTTTCTGTGTCTTAAATATTTACAAAACTCTCACATATTTTTTCAGGTAAGTGGGTTTGTATGTTATTTGATTTCTTTTTAAATGGCCATTCATGAAGGACGTGTTTATGACACACTCTGTTCTGGGCCTCAG